CTGGATGACGGTCGGGTATCACCCAGGACTCACAACGCATTGCCTTTAAATATAAGTGCTTACTTGACGAGGACAACAGTTACTATTGTACAGACCACATTTTCCACTTTAAAATTTCAGCCAAAATGTAATCACAACCTCACTTATCCTCTGCAACTTCGCGAATACAGATGGAGGACCAGTCGCACCTCGAGATAAATACAAAGACAATTTTTAGCACGCTGCGGTTGCCATTTTATGCAGTTTGATACACTGTGAGTGTGAAACAAGGGAGAAAAAAAAACCACAACTTTTTTGACAGTGGCGAGGAAAGACAATTTAAATTTAAAAATTTAAGTATCTTCATGCCTTCTTATATAATGTCAGAATTTATAGCCGACTTTTCTTGAACCTCTGCTGTAATACCTCGGTCGAGTCAGCAAGCTAAGACCTTGCCAGCTGCTGTAGCACGCAACCTTGTCGCAGTTTCCCCTGCTACGACAGACTTAGGCAACAGCAGCTATTGTGTTAATGAGAGAGTTATTTTAGTCCATCGTGTATGCAAAACGGGTGTAAGGTAACCACTATTCGTATTCGGCCCGACCGCAAGTATTCGGCCGAATACCGAATAGTTATTAAGTCTACTATTCGGCCCCGAAGCGAATATTCGGTACAGGCTCTCTCTCTCTCTCTCTCTCTCTCTCTATATATATATATATATATATATATATATATATATATATATATATATATATAATTACCAGCTGTTTTGATTAATGAAGCACCAATGATCAATACATATGAGCCGCTGTAACCGGCACGCCATATCGCTGGTTGTCGATTACTGCCAGGTCAGGTTTATGGCCCGGCACGCGTCCTGCTCGGCTGGTAAGCGCGGTCGTGGTTGAGTGAACAAAGACAAGATTGTACATTCAGTGAGACATCTAGATTAGAAACTAGCCTTTCTTTCGTTGTTTGACAGCTATTTTTTATAGGTTATTAGGATACATCGCCAGTGGGTGTTCTGTGCTGTTTCTGTACTTGGATAATGTCAACAAATGTGTGTGTGTGTGCTTAGTTTAGTTAGTACACATGACATAACCTCAGTATTGCAGCACTAATGGTGGTAGCACCCACTCATGTCGAGTGTCCTCCACCTCGCCTCCTAGCTGAGTTATATGTACTATACTATTTTACCCTAAACAATTCAATTTAACTTTCTTTTGTGATTCTTGGATAGTAGCGTTACTACGTTAAGAAACATGCGTTTCGTAAAATTAGATCTGCTGATAGTGGACGAGTGCATGTGTCGTGTTTTGAATTTGTAATTTTACTGTTATTACTTTACTTTAAACGATATATCTAATTTTATATACATATTTAAATGTATTATTTACAAATAACAAATATGACAAAATATAATTTATATCAGATAATTGATTAAGGGTAAGGTTTATGTGTTTGTTTAAATATCAGACAGTGTTGAGATTCCCATGTATTTACACACCCCGTTGGTCATTGTTCTGTCTTTTTTCTAACAAGATAGCGAAACATTTCTAACAAGAAAGCGAAACAATGTGATCTTTTGTTTCTCAATGAATTTTGTGCATGGTGTTGTTCCCTCAGTCTGTCTGATTGTTTCATTTCTCATCTCACATGGGTAAATTGACAGCTTTGCTCAGGCATCTCATTTCACAGGTTTATTTATATGTAGGTGTTAGTGTTAGTCTTTGATAATGTCCAAGTTTGGCACTGGTAGTGGTAGCACAGTGTTGGTATGAATATGCTGTTTATAACCTGTTTCTTTGTAGTCATACGTATGTTTTGATGTCTTATTCATTGGCAACACTTGGTATAAAAGTGCACTGGCTTTTTGATATCTTTCACATGAGATAACAGTGTGACACAACACACACGAGACAACAGACATGAAACAACACACACGAGACAACACACATGAAACACTCAAGAGATAACAGTGTGAAACAACACACATGAGACGACAGACATGAAACATAACACATGAGATAACAATTTGAGATAATATACACATGAGATAATAGTGCTGTGATCACATCGACAACTGACAAGTTCAGGGCCATGAAACAAGGTCTTTGTTACAAGGTGTTTGTTACATAGTCCTGGCTGAGTGTCTGTGTTGAGCCTCCATTTCTCTGTTTCATGACTGTTTCTTATGTCATCTGTGTTGAGCTCATTTGATGCTATAAGATTATGCAAAGCTGCTATCTGTTATATTTTTATGAGATCAGTTTGTGATGTGGAGTATGATATATTTGGACCATGTCTATTCTATACATGCATGTTAATATCTTCACTGGCTGTTTCATCAAAACAGTGGGAAATATTTGACTACACAAGTGCTTCTATCAGATCATATAGTTCAAACATCTATCTCTGTCTTGTAAGGCATCACAGCTCTGTGAGGACTCAGGATGACATTTTTCTGCTTTAACACCACTGCTTAACTGGGTAGCATGGTGTCATTCACCTCAATGTGTATCATGGTGTCATTCACATCAATGTGTAGCATGTGCCATTCACCTCAATGTGTATCATGGTGTCATTCACATCAATGTGTAGCATGTGCCATTCACCTCAATGTGTATCATGGTGTCATTTACATCAATGTGTAGCATGTGCCATTCACCTCACTTTGTAGCATGGTGTCATTCACTTCACTGTGTAGCATGGGGCTATTCACCTCAATGTGTATCATGGTGTCATTCACATCAATGTGTAGCATGAAGTCATTCACTTCACTATGTAGCATGGTACCATTCACCTCAATGTGTAGCATGGTTTCATTCACTTCACAGTGTAGCGTGGTGTCATTCACTTCACTGTGTAGCATGGTGTCATTCACCTCAATGTATCTTCGTGTAGGGAGTCTGCAGTCCGAAACCCAAGTCCAAGGTGTCTCCTTCATGCCAAAGAACTGCATGGCTGTTGGGTGAACAGTCATTAACGAAGGCAGTCAGGTTTTATTTTTGGAGCGGGCTTGCTGGTGGATGTAATGTCCTAAATCCCTTCCCCAGCTAATAGTAGGGTACTGCTGGGGTGACAGTTTATTACCCCTCACATAATGCTTCAGGTCCAAATAAACACTAGGCACTGCCACTGTTTTGAGATGAGGCATAAATTTTTGCTGATCTTTTAATGACTTCTGCTACCATCCATGATGAACTGCATTTCTAACGTCGGACTGTTTGTGTTAGCACTTCGGATGGCTACCATATGCATTTAATGCGAGTGTATGCTAGATTTGCTGAGACAGCAGTTTGTCATTCTTTCCACAAGGGACTGTGATAAACATTCTGTGTGTTTTTCGTTGGCACAGGAGCGGAGCAAAGATGGGGTGGCCCGTTTGCTATGAAGCTGAAATTAAAATTACCAGATTACCTCAATGTGTAGAATGGTTTCATTCACCTCAATGTGTAGCATGGTGCTATTCACCTCACTGTGTAGCATGGTTTCATGCACTTCACCATGTAGCATGTGCCATTCACCTCACTGTGTAGCATGGTGTCATTCTCTTCACTGTGTAGCATGGTGTCAATCACCTCACAGTGTAGCATGGTGCCATTCACCTTACTGTGTAGCATTGTGTCATTCACTTCACAGTGTAGCATGGTTTCATTCAATTCATTGTGTAGCATGGTGCCATTCACTTCAATGTGTAGCATGGTGTCATTCACCTCACTGTGTAGTATGGTGTCATTCAATTCATTGTGTAGCATGGTGCCATTCACCTCACTGTGTAGCATGGTGGCATTCACCTCACTGTGTAGCGTGGTGTCATTCACTTCACTGTGTAGCATGGTGTCATTCACTTCACTGTGTAGCATGGTGGCATTCACCTCACTGTGTAGAATGGTGTCATTAACTTCACTGTGTAGAATGGTGGCATTCACCTCACTGTGTAGAATGGTGTCATTAACTTCACTGTGTAGCATGGTGGCATTCACTTCACTGTGTAGCATGGCGCCATTCACCTCACTGTGTAGCATGGTGGCATTCACTTCACTGTGTAGCATGGCGCCATTCACCTCACTGTGTAGCATGGTGGCATTCACTTCACTGTGTAGCAATACGCCATTCACCTCACTGTGTAGCATGGTGTCATTCACTTCACTGTGTAGCATGGCGCCATTCACCTCACTGTGTAGCATGGTGGCATTCACTTCACTGTGTAGCAATACGCCATTCACCTCACTGTGTAGCATGGTGGCATTCACTTCACTGTGTAGCATGGTGTCATGCACTTCACTGTGTAGCGTGGTGTCATTCACTTCACTGTGTAGCATGGTGGCATTCACTTCACTGTGTAGCATAGTGGCATTCACTTCACTGTGTAGCATAGTGTCATTCACTTCACAGTGTAGCATGGTGTCATTCACTTCACTGTGTAGCATGGTGTCATTCACCTCACAGTGTAGCACTGTGTCATTCACTTGACTGTGTAGCATGTGTCATTCACTTGACTGTGACCATGGCTAAGTAATAATCTCATTACTTGAAGGAGTTTGGTTCAGCTCCACTCTGCGGCTCTGATAGTGTTGTTTAGTTGTACTGGTCATTGTGGTTATGTCTATAAATAGTTGAGGCATTCTGAGCAGACTTGGCCAGTCACTTGAGTTTGGTAATATGTGTCATGAAATGCTTGATGATGTTCTGTTTACTTGAATTTTTAGCATCATTTCTGGCCAAGTGTGTGAGCTTTTTGCCTGGTGCTGTGATGTGGTGTGCTCCTCTCATTGACTGCCTCATTCAGTTCATGGGTGCCATTTGTGTGGACTTCCCTGGGGATCAATACCAGAGCTATGGAGTTCATGCCATGTGTGACACTCCTGCAATAGCAGCTCTCTGAAAAAAGACAGAGAGACATATGTAACAAAACCTAGTTCAGTATAAGCAGTGCTCTTGACTTTAAACTTAACTTTTAAGTGTGAGCTGGTTTGTTCAGTCCATTCTTGTTTAATCTTGCAGGATTCTAAGGGACCATGAATGTTCTCCTAGAGCTACTGGTTGTGACCTTCAAGGTCATTGGGCTTTGGCTGTTGGCTGTCATCAAAGCTCTAGTTCCCAGCAGATTCCAGAGCAAGAAAGATGTCAGTGACCAGGTTGTCCTGGTGACAGGGGCAGGTAACTCTTCACTACAGTCTTGATATTGTCTGGAGACAGACAGGGAACAAGAGGAGATCATTAACTAGACATCTATACAAAATGAACTAGATCATTGACTAGACAACTCTACAGAACAAAAGTAAATAAGTGATTAGACAATTAACATAGAACAAAAGAAGATCATCTAGAATAATAACTGTGTTATAAGCACTAAACTGACATCATACACATATGTAGAAATCACATTAAACTGCAACTATGAATGCAATTAATCACAGATATGTTTATTAAAATAAATTCATTATTAATCATATGTTTATTTTTTAACTACTATATTCAAACTAAATAGATTTCATAAAAGATAAAAATGAAAGTCACATGAAACTGTCATCATGAGAGGATATTGTGAAATAACACGTAACAATTACCACCTGGGGTTTCCCAGAGAATCATCCGTTTCGAAAAATAAGGTGGAACGTTGGATCTGTCCCAATCACCAAGACCTTCCTCGGGGCACTTCAGTCATCAATCATCAACTACGACCAGCCTGACAGTGGTCTGGAAGCCGGCAGGACGGGGAACAAGGAAGCTGTCCTTGGCTTTTCAGCAGCTGGATCTAGATGTAACTATACGGTCATACTGCTAGTGTTTTTTAGGCGGCTGAAAGAACAAAATTATAGTTGTCTTCCAAAACTGCACACTTTCTCCTGCTAGCGACCTGAAGTCAAAGCTGGCAATCTCATCCACCAGCGAGGATTCCATTGGTGGCCAGGTTTTTGCAGCAGCATTGCCGAATTTGCTAGCAGCAAATACTATATTTGAAAGCACAGGGGGAATTACAAATTAGACTCATTGGGAATTTGTTAACCAGCCATCACAGGCTTTAATTGGAATATCCCTCAATGTCCTCTCTGAGGAAAATGACGTCACTCTTGAAGTAGCTAAGAGGAAAGAAATCGAAGTGTCAAACTGAGTGGTACGTGAGTCAAGGTATCGTTGGCTACTTGAAACGGTGTCTTCCGACAATAATCAAGTAAATAATTACTATATCTTCACTGTCCTACAGTCCATGACTGTACTATTCACCTCACTATCCTGTACCATGTCTGTACTGCTGACCTCACTGTCCTGTACCATGACTGTACTATAAACCTCACTGTCCTGTACCATGACCACAATATAAACCTCACTGTCCTGTACCATGACTGTACTATAAACCTCACTGTCCTGTACCATGTCTGTACTATTAACCTCAGTGACTTGTACTTTGACTCTACTTCTAATGTCACTAAAATGTTCTTTGAATAATGATGACTCTATTTTATGAACAACAGGAAGTGGCATTGGTCGTCTGCTAAGTGTCAGATTTGCAAGGTTAGGGTCACGATTAGTTCTCTGGGACATTGACGAGCTGGGCAACCAGCAGACGTCTGAACTGGTTCGGTCTGCAGGAAGTGAGGCCTCCATCTACACTGTGGACCTGTCCAAGAGGGCAGACATTTATAAAGCTGCTGATAGAGTGAGTTGTGATTGTGTCCAACTTGTGCGGCACTTGATGCTGATGAGGGTGTTCCTTGTTCTGTCTTATGCTGCCTGTCTACATGACATAATAACAGTGTATGTAAGTGTGTGGGTGTTCCTGGTACTGCTGTGTCTTGTGCTGCCTGATGTCTACATGACATTATAACAGTGTATGTGAGTGTGGGTGTGTTCCTGGTACTGTTGTGTCTAGTGCTGCCTGATGTCACATTATAACAGTGTATGTGAGTGTGTGGGTGTTCCTGGCACTGTTGTGTCTAGTGCTGCCTGATGTCACATTATAACAGTGTATGTGAGTGTGTGTGTGTTCCTGGTACTGTTGTGTCTAGTGCTGCCTGATGTCACATTATAACAGTGAATGTGAGTGTGTGGGTGTTCCTGGCACTGTTGTGTCTAGTGCTGCCTGATGTCACATTATAACAGTGTATGTGAGTGTGTGTGTGTTCCTGGTACTGTTGTGTCTAGTGCTGCCTGATGTCACATTATAACAGTGTATGTGAGTGTGTGTGTGTTCCTGGTACTGTTGTGTCTAGTGCTGCCTGATGTCACATTATAACAGTGTATGTGAGTGTGTGTGTGTTCCTGGTACTGTTGTGTCTAGTGCTGCCTGATGTCACATTATAACAGTGTATGTGTGTGTTCCTGGTACTGCTGTGTCGTGTGCTGTCTGATGTCACATTATAACAGTGTATGTGAGTGTGTGAGTGTTCCTGGTACTGTTGTGTCTAGTGCTGCCTGATGTCTACATGACATTATAACAGTGTATGTGAGTGTGTGTGAGTGTTCCTGGTACTGTTGTGTCTAGTGCTGCCTGATGTCACATTATAACAGTGTATGTGAGTGTTCCTGGTACTGTTGTGTCGTGTGCTGTCTGATGTCTATATGACATTATAACAGTGTATGTGAGTGTGTGTGAGTGTTCCTGGTACTGTTGTGTCTTGTGCTGTCTGATGTCTACATGACATTATAACAGTGTATGTGAGTGTATGTGAGTGTTCCTGGTACTGTTGTGTCTAGTGCTGCCTGATGTCACATTATAACAGTGTATGTGAGTGTGTGAGTGTTCCTGGTACTGTTGTGTCGTGTGCTGCCTGATGTCTCCTTGACATTATAACAGTGTATGTGAGTGTTCCTGGTACTGTTGTGTCGTGTGCTGCCTGATGTCTCCTTGACAGTATAACAGTGTATGTGAGTGTTCCTGGTACTGTTGTGTCGTGTGCTGTCTGATGTCTCCTTGACATTATAACAGTGTATGTGAGTGTGTGGGTGTTCCTGGTACTGTTGTGTCGTGTGCTGCCTGATGTCTCCTTGACATTATAACAGTGTATGTGAGTGTATGTGAGTGTTCATGGTACTGTTGTGTCGTGTGCTGCCTGATGTCTCCTTGACATTATAACAGTGTATGTGAGTGTTCCTGGTACTGTTGTGTCGTGTGCTGCCTGATGTCTCCTTGACATTATAACAGTGTATGTGAGTGTATGTGAGTGTTCCTGGTACTGTTGTGTTGTGTGCTGCCTGATGTCTTCTTGACATTATAACAGTGTATGTGAGTGTGTGTGTGTGAATGTTCCTGGTACTGTTGTGTCGTGTGCTGTCTGATGTCTCCTTGACATTATAACAGTGTATGTGAGTGTGTGGGTGTTCCTGGTACTGTTGTGTCGTGTGCTGCCTGATGTCTCCTTGACATTATAACAGTGTATGTGAGTGTATGTGAGTGTTCCTGGTACTGTTGTGTCATGTGCTGCCTGATGTCTCCTTGACATTATAACAGCGTATGTGAGTGTATGTGAGTGTTCCTGGTACTGTTGTGTCATGTGCTGCCTGATGTCTCCTTGGCATTATAACAGTGTATGTGAGTGTTCCTGGTACTGTTGTGTCTTGTGCTGTCTGATGTCTACATGACATTATAACAGTGTATGTGAGTGTGTGGGTGTTCCTGGTACTGTTGTGTCTAGTGCTGCCTGATGTCTCCTTGACATTATAACAGTGTATGTGAGTGTTCCTGGTACTGTTGTGTCGTGTGCTGCCTGATGTCTACATGACATTATAACAGTGTATGTGTGTGTGTGTTCCTGGTACTGTTGTGTCTTGTGCTGTCTGATGTCTACATGACATTATAACAGTGTATGTGTGTGTGTGTTCCTGGTACTGTTGTGTCTAGTGCTGCCTGATGTCTCCTTGACATTATAACAGTGTATGTGAGTGTTCCTGGTACTGTTGTGTCTTGTGCTGCCTGATGTCTTCATGACATTATAACAGTGTATGTGAGTGTATGTGAGTGTTCCTGGTACTGTTGTGTCTTGTGCTGCCTGATGTCTCCTTGACATTATAACAGTGTATGTGAGTGTTCCTGGTACTGTTGTGTCGTGTGCTGCCTGATGTCTCCTTGACATTATAACAGTGTATGTGAGTGTTCCTGGTACTGTTGTGTCTTGTGCTGCCTGATGTCTACATGACATTATAATAGAGTGTATGTGAGTGTTCCTGGTACTGTTGTGTCGTGTGCTGCCTGATGTCTCCTTGACATTATAACAGTGTATGTGAGTGTTCCTGGTACTGTTGTTTCGTGTGCTGCCTGATGTCTACATGACATTATAATAGAGTATGTGAGTGTTCCTGGTACTGTTGTGTCTTGTGCTGTCTGATGTCTACATGACATTATAACAGTGTATGTGAGTGTGTGGGTGTTCCTGGTACTGTTGTGTCTAGTGCTGCCTGATGTCTCCTTGACATTATAACAGTGTATGTGAGTGTATGTGAGTGTTCCTGGTACTGTTGTGTCGTGTGCTGCCTGATGTCTCCTTGACATTATAACAGTGTATGTGAGTGTTCCTGGTACTGTTGTGTCGTGTGCTGCCTGATGTCTCCTTGACATTATAACAGTGTATGTGAGTGTTCCTGGTACTGTTGTGTCGTGTGCTGCCTGATGTCTACATGACATTATAATAGAGTGTATGTGAGTGTGTGGGTGTTCCTGGTACTGTTGTGTCGTGTGCTGCCTGATGTCTCCTTGACATTATAACAGTGTATGTGAGTGTTCCTGGTACTGTTGTGTCTTGTGCTGTCTGATGTCTACATGACATTTTAATAAAGTGTGTGTGTGTGTGGGTGTTCCTGGTACTGTTGTGTCTTGTGCTGCCTGATGTCTCATCATCATGTAGCAGGTCCCTTTGCAGAACGTCGCTCTCATCACAGTCTGCCTGAAAGAAACTCGGTCTCTCGCCAGTTCTCACGCCTCATGTACTTTCATACTTAAGGAGTTACTTATATCCTGTGCCCATCTTCGTATCGGTCGGCCCCTGCCCCCCTTTCCTGGTACCATGCCTTCTGCTATAATTTTTTCCAATCCATTCTGGCGCTTGATATGGCCAAAATATTTCAGCTTCCGAAAAAGGATTCTGTTTATTAGCCAATCTTCCTTGATGTTCAGATCTTTTAAGATGTCAATATTTCTCATTTTCTTTGTGCTTGATGTGTACTTGACATTAAAGCACTGTGTGAGTGTGAATGTATGGGTGTGAGTGTATGACTGTTCCTGGTTCTGTCCTTTGCTGCCTGATGTCTACATGACATGATAACAGTTTGTGTTCAGTGCTGTTACACCACAACATATCCTACAAGAAAAGGGAGTTTGTTGGGGTTGGTGGTGTAACTGAGATGTGCATTTTGACAGGTCAAGCAGGATGTCGGGGATGTAGACATCCTAGTCAATAATGCTGGCATTGTGACAGGAAAGAAGTTGTTTGACTGCCCGGATGAGCTCATGCAGAAGACAGTGGATGTCAATTGCTGTGCACACTTTTGGGTAAGAATTTATCACATGTCAACAACAGCAACAACAAGAACACAATAATTAATAACTGCAGATATTTACGATTTTTAGGATTGTGCTGCCATTTGGTGGTGGGGTGAGGGGGAGGGGCACTGAGCCTAAGGCTGCAGCATAAAGGCTTGAACCTAAGGATTGCACACACACAAAATAATTTTTAAAAAATTAAAAAGGAAACAATGAAGGTGGGAGGGGGGGGGGGGGGGTATGTCTTGATCATAAAGATTAAAGTTTGTAGGATGGGGGGGGGGGGGGGGCTGAACCCAGGAGGCTTGGATCCTAAAGATTAGGAATTGCAGAGGGTAGGTGGGGAATGTGCTTAAGCCTGGCTATCACAGTCACCACCACCTAAGCGAGGTAGGATTTGTATCTTTTGTCCCTGTAAGAAAAAAATCTTCATTCACATTATCAAGGATTGGAATCTGTGTCTCCTACAGGAGAAGCCAGTATTCTAATTATTCAGTCAGCCTCTTCTGTGAAATGGCATTGGACTAAATTTGACTGCTGTGTTGCGCTCTGAATCTGTTAGATATCTGCAAGTATGTATGACCTAGACCTTGTAAAGATACTTCATGGATGTACCCATTCAACATTCAGGAAAGCTGGGACAACTCTGCTCATGGAATCTGGGACAACTCTGCTCAGGGAAGCTGGGACAACTCTGCTTAGGGAAGCTTGGACAACTCTGCTCAGGGAAGCTGGGACAACACTGCTCAGGGAAGCTGGGACAACTCTGCTCAGGGAAGCTGGGACAACACTGCTCAGGGAAGCTTGGACAACTCTGCTCAGGGAAGCTGGGACAACTCTGCTCAGGGAAGCTGGGACAACACTGCTCAGGGAAGCTGGGACAACTCTGCTCAGGGAAGCTGGGACAACACTGCTCAGGGAAGCTGGGACAACACTGCTCAGGAAAGCTGGGACAACTTTGCTCAGGGAAGCTGGGACAACTCTGCAAATGTGTTATTCCTTTTTGGGTGTTTTAATTGATAATTACAAATGCGGTTACAGGTATCTGTAAATGACTGCTCAATCTTTAGTTTTAGAAACACATCAAAGCTAAAAATGATCATCATCTGACATTTGGTCACAACTAGAAATTTTAAGTCAGTCACACTTAGAAAACTGTATAATGTTAACATTTGCCAATCACAACTAAAAGATGTGTATAGTCTGTAAAACATGTGTCAATCATGAAAGAAATGTGTGCATTCTTAAACATTTGTCAGTCACAGAGAGAGAAATGTGTGTGCAGTCTTAATTATTTGTCCGTCACAGAGAGAGAAATGTGTGTGTCAGTCTTAAACATTTTGTCAGTCACAGAGAGAGAAATGTGTGCAGTCTTA